TTGGAGTTCTATTAGATCCTCTCACTCTATTCTTGGTCATTTAATCTCTGTTCTATTTTCAATCTTTATGTTTTTGTGCTGTAGTTGAGTTATCAACTCAGATCTAGCCTCCCATTTAGTAATTCTCTCTTTAGCAGCATCTAAACTGCTTTTGCTTCAATCATAGATTTTTATTTTCAATGCCTGGGTTCTATTTGGTTCTTTCCAAATGTCAATCTAATTTAAAAATGGTATTTTTAATCTTCAAAGTTTTAATGCTTTCCTTTAATTATTCAAGACTATGATAATTTAAAAGATACTTACTATTTATTCTCTTTCAGACCAATCAAAGCCCTTGATTTTTCTTTTTAAAAAACTGTCCATGTTTACTTGTGGCAGACTATTTCCTCATGCATGTATACTTGTGATTCAGTATCGAAAGGGCTTGATTTTTACCTATGACAACCTGGCTATGACAATATTTGTCCAGAGAGAAGTTATATTTGCTTTTGTTGGCTGCACACAAAGTCTGACCTGAAATTAGCTTCCCTTCCTGTTCTCTCCCCTCCCATCCCTTGCCTTTCCTCCCTTTACATTTCCTTTCTATTTATTCTATGTTAGAGGAGAGGACAGTCCTCTACTGGCGTGTGACACATAGCTATTTCAGAAGGGTTGATGTGACAAGGTATGGGCAGTGAGGACAATCAAGGCTTTTGCCCACATGCAAAATGCACAATCTATGAAGCACACTTATTTTAATGACACTTAATCTATATAAAGTTAATCTACAGAAGGCTGAGCTTTTCTTTAGAAAATACCTTTCATGTGGTATCAATTCATCTATCATAGAATTCACCTATTTATGGCCCATAATTCACAGAGCTGTGCAGTCATTATCACAAGGAATTTTAGAACATAGCATCACCCCCAAGAGAAGCCCCACACCCTCTTCTGGGAGTGGTTGCCTTAATATCCTGAATTAACTCAAAATATATACAGCAATTTGTGTCAAATAAAAGCATCATGATGTGCCCTCATCTTCCTCAGTCACCAGATCTGGCACTGTGCAGCTTCTGGCTCTTCTCCAACATCAGAATGACTGTGAATGGTAAATATTCTGAAGCAGTTCAGGACCTCAAGTCAGCCATGACGGCACAGCTAAAGGCATTTATGAGAGATGACTTCTAGAAGTACTTCAGAAAGTGATGAGCTGGGCGTGGTGGTGGCACACATCTGTCATCCCAGCACTCAGGAGGCTGAGGCAGGAGGATTGCTGCTAGTTTCAGCCAACTTGGACAACTTAGTGAGACCCTGTCTCAAAAAACAAACAAACAAAAAGAAAGTGGCAAGAATGATAGGGTAAGTGCTTTTGAAGTGAGAGGGAAGATTTTGAAGGGCATTAATGACAATATGTCTTTTACTATAATCAATTCAAAAAGAAAATTTAAATTAACTATAATTTTTGATTATACCTTGTACCTAGCAGTGGATCTGCTGTGCGATATGGGAACTCTATGCTTGATCTTTTGAGAATCACCAGTTACTTTCCAAAGTGGCTGCACCATGTTACATTCCCGTCAGCGGCATGTAAAGTTCTAATTTCTCCACGCCCTCACCAACACTTGCTATTGTCCTTTTTTTTTCTACTTTAACAGTCTTAGGGTTATGAAGTGATACCTCATTATGGTTTTGATTTGCATTTCTGTAATGGCTAATAATACTGAGCATCTTTTCATGTGTTTATTAGCCATTTGTCTGTCTCCTCTGAGGAAATGTCTATTCAGGCATTTGCCTGATTTTTAATTGAATCATTTGTCTTTTCATTGTGAAGTAAGGAGCCTTTATGTATTCTAGATACAAGCCTCTAGTTAGATACATGATGAGAAAACATTTTCTTTCTCCATTTTCTGTATGGTATTCTGTGAAGCACAAAATTTTCATTCTGATGAACCCCGATTTGTCTATTTTTTCATTTATTGCTTGTGCTTTTGTTTCTGGAACTAAATTCCTCATTATTTCTCTTCTGGAAGTTTCTAGGATCATTCATAGAGCGCACACCCAGAACTCAAACTTGAGCCAGGCACAGGACTTGGAGATAATTTCCCTGTGCACAGTCTAGGCAGCCAGCCGGCCAACCTCTGTGGGTAGGTACCTTTAGCCTCCCTATGGAAGAACCTCGTCTTCACAAGGAGTTCAGGGCCTCAACCCACACCCCAGACTGGGGGTGACCCTCCCACTCTGCAAGGGCAACAAATCCCAAGTCCTTACAGGATGTGGACGGACTGGCTGCCCCACCTGCCCGGAATAGCCCTTGCTTCTCAGCCTTCAGTTCCCTTTACGCAGCTCACATTATTAGATTTCACGGTTTTCCTTCCAAGTACATCAATAAAGTAAAATTAAAAATTATATTTTATCCACAATTTTCTAGTTGGATATAGCAAAATTTTTTTTAAAAATTAAAAAAAACTTCAATAGGTCTGCCTATTACTGGATTTATCCCTTAAAATTTCTCAAGTTCTTTTCTTTGTCACAAAGATTCAGATGTTAAAGATAACAGAGCTTTTTAAAAACCGACATGGTCACAGTCACAAGCCATGTATCAGCACGCTCAGCCTTCTCTCTTTGACCTAATAGAATCTACAGTGGGAAGTGAGTCCTGCCTTGCTTCAGCAACCCCTCTCTAAACACCTTTCCTCCCAGAGGTCTACTGGTCACCACGCCAGTGAGTCTTCAGTGGCTCTTGTTAGTGGGTTCCTAGGCTCACACTATGCTGATATAGTAGTTCTGTGTCTCGCTCCTGTGTTGAGGAGCTCTTCCACCTACTTCACCACCTCCTAGGAGAAGACGAGGAAGAAATAAAGCCACAAGCCTCATGGGAGCTTTGGCTTGGAGATGGCAGCCAAGGTGCTCTAGAAACCTAAACGTGTCCCTAGGGTTGCAGGGTCATCTCTGACCTGTCTGGTGTCTGTCATTGGCAAGAGGGAGTAAAGAGGATGAGAAGAGCCTCTTCCTGGTGCTCCCTGGGCTGTACCCACACAGTGATGCAAGGGAGTGGTCTCTGTCCTTATACTGCATAGCTGTGTGGAGACCCACCAGCACCCTGCTAGCTGGCCCCGGGAGGTGAGGGGTTGGCATTCTGACACATGGGTGACCTGGTACAGCCACACAGGGCCCAGTGGGCATTGGGCAACAAGCAGTGGGAGCGAGGGCCAGTCTGGCCAGCAGGGTGCCACGTCAGGCTGGCCCCTCCTCACTGCAGCTCTCCTCACCGACCTCACGGCCACCATGGCACCACCTGCCCATTTTGTGTGTCCTTTTTCAGCACTGGGGCAGGCATCTGTCCCTCTTTCCCTCCCAACTGCCTTCAACCCGAGGATGCCTGTTCTAAAGCCACCTCCAGCCAAGCCAGGAGGCACATGCCCACTGTGTCCCTACCTCCCTCCACCTGGCTGACTAGACTTTTCTTCAAGGTACTGGCACACACTTTGCCTTCCCAACTCATTCTTCTAACTATTTCCTGTCAAAGTCACACTGGATTCTAAGTATCTCCTAATGTAGTTTTCAATGCTTACATTTTTAATTAATTAATTTTGCTACTTTGAACCACTGCCGCCACAACAGGGGACTTCTTCCCGTGGTGTCATGGCATGTGGAGGTTCTGGGTGGGGAGTGGGCCTGGGCTTTTCCAGAGCTCTGGGTAAAGACGGCCTCTTGCTGCCCTCCTGTCACTCCTCAGGTCGAAGGGCAAACTCTCTGATGTGTCCCCTCGGAGCCTCCAGGGAGGACTCTCACATGAGGCTCAGGAAATACCACTGAGTTTTTAACGGAGCTAGAGTGAGGCTTAACACAGTTAGCAAAGAGAATCGTTTGATGAGAATAAGGAAAATGGATGAAGACTTCCTGTGGGAAGCAGTGGGGGCTGGATCTTCACGTTGGACTTCTGATATGAGTCACACCTTCCCCTCACCCTGTGTGGACTCACGTCGGAGTTTGTTCTAAGGGCTCTTCCTAACAGCCTTGCTCAGTCTAGAATGAACAACTCCTCCATGTGTCAAGTCCATGCTGTGACATCTGTCAAGGGTGGGAGGGGGTATCTGACCCCTTCCTTGTCAGACCACCTTGCCAATGTGAACTGGGCAGAAGGCTGATCCCTGTTACAGTCTTTGCAGAGTGTTGCCGCGCCCTTGCAATTGCATTTGTACCAATGAAAGTTGCAGAGATGCTGAAACTGGCTAAAGTTCCCCTGTAAACCCTAGAAGATGAGGGAACAGGCTTGTCATCAGCATACTGCAGCACAGACTACTTGGTGTTGCCCAAAGATACTTGTTGTTTGCTCCCTGGCCATCAGCAGTATCCTGTGACCAAGCCTAAAGGAGAAGAGCAGGGTGAGCAGGACATTTCTTTACAGGTTTTCAGAGGGACATATGCCCCTTTGCTCTTTCTCTTTCCTCTGGGAACAGATGGTGACTAATCCCATGGTACAGCAAAGTCTAGGTCATTGAGTCACTTCCTGGAAGAGGTCCACTCACCCATCAGGACACCCACCTCAGGCTGCACTGAAGGTTGAGAAATCAACTTCTATTTGGGGATCCATCTGTTACTGCAGCAAATCACTGAACATACTATCCATATTGATTTCTGAAGAGGAGAGCCTGGACACATTACAGGTTAAAGATTCCCCATCGGATCTTTCTGTGTGCCTCCTTTTCATCACTGATAGCAAAATTATCCCTAACTTAAAAAGTCGTAATGAGTCCAGCCTGTTAGAATTCATCACCAACTTCAAACAAATGGCTTGTGCCCCAGTGGCGTTTCACCTGAACTTCTCCTGAGGCTGGTCTAGCAAGAGCTATGTGGTAGGCACACCTGGCCTAGCCAGTGGGCAGGAGCGCACCACACAGACACAAATGGGACATGCCGACACGATGTCACCGGCTTGCAATGTGGGGACTCAGGTTTAGCATGCCCCACCTCCAGTGAGAAGCAGGCTGTCTTCGGGACCAGCCCTGGCCTCCTCTCACCTGACTCTCGTGTGCGGCCGCGCACCACCTCGCTCCAGGGCCCAGCTCCGATGGCATTGAAGGCTTGCATCTGCAGCTCATACTCCGTCCACTCTTCCAGCTCCTCGATGGTGAGCTCCCTCTCCAGCCGGTTGTTGACAACTTGGGCCAGTGCAGCAAATGGGAGGTCTAAGCGCCAGTACTTCACCCGGTAACCCACGGACTCTGGGTTCCCATTGTACTGGGAATCGGGCAGGGGCTGGCAATGAATGACAGTCTGTGAAGAGCTGATACCTCAACACGGTCGCCTTTCTAGGTCTTAAAGGACAGGTGTGTCTTACAGAGCCATTCCACCAAAAGCATTTTCTTGGAAGATATCCTTAGACCCTTATTCTATTTTTCTTTCAAATTTTTCTTCTGCTAATTAAATGAAACCCTGTTAGTCATGGGCTGGACATAATTTCTTTTAATACATTTTGCCTTAATTTTGTGGAAAATTCTCTGATTAAACACCAGGCTGGCTCTCTTAGAAATACTATCAAGTATTGGTTCTGTGTTGACAGAGCTTAAAGACATATAGGTCTGTGTTCCTTTCTGAAGAGCAGCCCCCACCCCAAGAAGAGAGGGAGGAATGCTGGTAATTAACGTGATATCCTGGGCTGCTCTAGATCCTACACTAAAATTGCAATGTGTAATTGCAATGTGTAATTGCAATGTGTTTGGATGAAGAAAAGACACGACTAAGGAATAGCTAAGCTCTGAATTTCCTGGCAAGCCATAGCCTCTACAGGACACGGCCCCGCAGCCCTCTTCCAGATCCTAACTTACCACCCAGCGCAGACGCAGGCTGGTCTCACTGGCTGTCCGCACAGTGATGCTGGTGGGAGCCACATCGGGTGGGGCCTGCAGGGTCTGGATGACACGGGACGACTGGCTGAAGGGGCTGGAACCAACGATGTTTACTTGCCGCATTCGAAATCTAGGGGAGAAGCCACTGACAAGAGTCACCCCAAAGCAAAAGGCAATAACATACAATACTTCACCCAGGACCACTTCTCAGAGAAGGGCTTGGGCAGGTGTTTACCTATATCACAAAGGCCATAGATCAAGGACACACTCTTCCTACCTGGTTTCATTTAAAATGCAAATCATTTGGCCAGCCCTTTTTCTGAACCACTTTCAAAGCAGGGTAAATGTTTTCAACTCAACAAGATTAAATTCCCAAGTGACCCATAACTGGATAGGGCAGATGGCCAGACACCCACGTCATTGGCTGCTATTGGCTGGTCCTAGTATAAGAAGTGGCTTAGGGATTAAGGTTCAAGTGTTATTCAACAGAACTAAGTGTTACAATGCTGTTACTAAAGGACAGTTTGAAAATCCAGAGCCCTTTTAGTGACCCAAGGCATCCCACATCCACTCTCTGTTGGTTCCAGAGGCAGAGCAATGGCCAGAATCCTCCCTAGGACCCCCGACTTCCAGCAAATCAGATCTCTCTGTTTCTATATCTACAAGGGGAGGTGGGGATGGGTGTTTTTCAAGGTGTGCATTCATGCTTTTACTGTTTTGTCTCTGTTCTATTTATATCTATAATTATTTGAATTGAATTTATATACAATAAAAATCCCAAGTGCTGAAACTCATACTTATTACAGAGGTTCCTTAAGTTTATAGGAATTTAACATAGGGACAGTGATCTCTAATCACAGTTTCCGATCTTTGGAATAATTTTTTACTTTTGGATAATTTCACATGGCAAGTCTTGAATCCCAGCAGCTCATTTTAAGCTAGTGTTTTTCTCTAAAAATGAGTGTAATATGTCTGATTCATCTGCTCTTAAGCTTAGAAAAGATGTTAAAATGAATACATGCTGAAACGTGCCTCTTATTGGTTTTTTTTAAACTCTAGCTTTGATATTGTACTGAGAAAATGTGCTTCACCTTTTACTCCCTGAATTAGTAATTCTTATTCTTTCATTCCCTGATCTCATGAAATGTATCCATCCTGGCAGAACAATGACATTATCAAACTCAACATCTGGTGATAACTGGAAATTTCATCTCTTTCAGTGTTCTTACGGGAAGTTATAACATCACTAACAGCTCATGATCACTTTACCCTTTGTTAAGGCCAAGGATTTACTGCTTGGATAAGTTTCAGGATCAAGAAGCAAAAGGTTAAATGGCATGTTAAGTGCTTGATTGGTGAAACTAGCAATGCCTGGGTCCAGGCAGAGGGAGGCAGAAGGATATTCCTAGGACATCTGCCTTGTTTGCACACAGCATGTTAATGGCCCCAAGACGTTGGACAGCTCAGTAAAGAAAAGCGCCACATCTCCACAGCCTGCTTGGCTCTGAATACAACCGAGAGCCCTTTCTATAGGATACTCTGCAGTCTAGTGCTGGTGGAAATAACATGATCAAACTCAACTGTGTGTCCTGCCTGCTCCTTAAGGTTTTGGTTTACTCTTGATTGCTACTTGGGAACTTCTAATTTACACGCACAACTGGGTTTGTTCTGGCCAACAGAAGCCACCTGCTCAGGATGCTCTCACCTGTAGTGGGTGTAGGGCGTGAGGTTTGGGATTTCCAGAGTCTGGGCATCGGGCTCGTCCTCCTCCTCGTAGAGGCAGACCCATTCCTCCTCGTCACCGATGGCACCAACCTGTGGAGAAGGAGCCTGAGGCTGGCTGGACACACTTCGGGGACTGAGGCTGCCCCGGTGCACCCTCTGGGGCGTGGTGGTGGGCTGGGTCCTGCACAGACCCTTCTGTGCCTTGGAGATACAGGCTCTTGGTCTTCTCACCACCAGTCTGGGGGGGCGTGGTTTAGTGCAAAGCTCAGTCAAGACTGGGCCAAACAAGGGCGGGACCTGAGAGTGTCTCTGGGGCTCACAGACCACTGGCTTGTCCTTCCTCCCACTTGACAGGTAAGGACTTAGAGAGGCACAGAGAGATTCCGCTGGATCCCACATGGGACAGTGACAAAGCCATGGGCACAGGCACATTGACTTGGGATCTGCTTCCACCACAGGGGCTTCTTCTCTCCCCACATCTGCCCCATATACTCTCCCCCAAGTTCAACTGCAGGACTCCCTGCTGGCTGTGGATAAGGAAGGTCTCATACAGAGAAGGACAAAGCTTTCTGCAGAGCTGACCTGAGAAGAGCAATCTGTTCTCTCCCCGTCTGCCATAGAAGGCCCCTGGGGTGGCCTCTGTGCACCCCAAGCAACTACCTCTCCCAAACCTCAGGACTTGCCAAATGTCTTTTGGTGGTTTTGTTCCTTTCATTCCCTTCTGTGACCACCATGCCCTGTCCACCTGCCCAAAAGACATTTCCACTTCCGGTGGCCCCTGACCCCAGCCTCACCTCTCTCTCTGCCTTGTGGTTTCCTGTTACTGAGACCTGCCTGACATGGCTTCTCCTGCTCACGCCTATACGGCCGTACCCCTGGTTCCACTTTGCTGATGCCACCCGGTGTGTCCCAGCCAGAGAGCACAAGGGAGACACCATGGCCTCAGGCCAGCCAGAAGGCCCTGAGCATTCCTCTACTCAGATGATATCCCCGCAGCAGGAACACTCCAGGCTGAGAGAGGCTGCATGGTACTGGGGGACCCAGGGGACAGAGTATATGGGGCCAAACAAACTGAGGTCAAGCTAGGATCAGCCAGGGCTCTTGCATTTGACCCTTTATAAGTGACTTCAATGACAGAACAGGAGTCAAGCTCATTCAGTCTGCAGGCAGCCAAGTCATGGTGGGAGGCCTGAGAAATCAGGAGGACCTTGGCAAACTGCAGAGCTGGAGAGGGGATAGTAGGCGGCTGCTTCCTGAAGAATGAAGAAAGCAAAGTGGGAAGCTCTAAATACTTTAAACTAAAACCAGGAAAGTAGCTGATGGCTCGTCAATGAACTAGATCATAACTCAATGAACTAGAATCCCATAGAACCTTGCTTTTCCACATCTAGTACAAACCCAGAACTAAAAACAGGGTCATGAGCAAACTCCTGTACACCAAGGTCCATAGCCAAAAGGTGGATGCAGTCAAATGTCCACTGGTTACAGACACACATAGTCTACACAACGGGCCACAGAGAAGAACAGCTCGTGGACACAGGCCATCACGTGGATGGACCTCAAAACATTCTGCTGAGTGAAAGAAGCCAGAGCCGGAAGTCTACGTGTGTGCCATACAATTCCCTTTATGAGATATCCAGAAGGTCCCTTCCATAGAGACAGGATGCAGAGCCATGGCTGCCAGGGGCTGGGGAGAGGGAAGGGTGCGGAGCAGCTATCAGGTATTGGACTTCTTTTAGGGTGACAACAATGTTTTAGAACTGGTTAGAGGTAGTGGATATCCTAACTTGTGAACTGTACTCTTTAAAATGGTGGATTGTGGGCCAGGGATCTAGCTCAGCAGTTCCACTGCCTGCCCTGCAAGTACAGGGACCCAAGTTCGATCCCCGGTACAAAAAGAAAAAAAAAAAAGGTGGATTTTATACTATGTGAATTTCACCTCAGTTAAAAAATACCCATTAAAATAAAATGTGAGATGCTGGCCAAAAACAGCAGAGAAAGATCTGGAGGTCAGAGTAGGTAGGAAGCAGCTGCAGATTCTCAAGAAGTAAGGCAGCTGAACTGGACCTCGGGGTGAAGGTGCTGCACAGTCTGAGCAGCTGGAGGCAGAGGGGAGAGCACCCTCGTGCTGCTGCCAGCCTGTTCTCAGCACCGCACTCACATCCTGGTCTCTGGGGCCCACTAGTGTGCTTTTTATTTCCTAGCTTCTCTGTACTTGCGTAAGGGGGAAGCGGATGCCAGGCAAGTTTAATTTATGCCTCAAGCCTCTAAGGTCTGACTGTGGATGCTTGTTTACCTCTGCAAAGCAACTTCTTTTCTTGGCCTCTTCTCACCCTCTGGCCCACCTTTCTGACTTCTCCCCTGGAGGAAGGCTGGGGTCCTGGGTGTCGGGGCTCTGGAGGGTGCTCCTGGCCCATTGCCCTGGCTGCTATGCCTGGTGTGTTCACTTCAGTCTGTCTGTCTGCCTCCCTGGCCCTGGACACACTCACAGGGGTCAGGCTTCCCAGACCCTGTGTATATTGTGGCACCATGTGACCGGGTGTGCTCTTGGCCCCCTGAGCTGCTGCAGGGTCAGCGCTGGTCAAAGCACTGGCTCTGGCTTCATGGTGTTTCTCCTATGTGAGCGAGGGGAGCAGAAGGGGACTGGCAAGACTGAGATGCCCTCCATGGGAACAAGGGAGGTGCCCTAGGGCTCTGGGTACACAGGAGAGTAGAGAAGAACGCCTGGCAGGATGTCAGCAAAGATCCAGGGAAGTGCCTGCTATGCTGCTGGGCTGAGGGGCAATGAGGCCTTGAATCCCCATCCTTTTTGGATGACAGTCTTCTGAGGCCGCACTGTCACTATCCCATCATGGGTCCCTAACCTGCCACTGGGGAATGAATGTCTAGTACCTGCATCCTTCTATTTTGCTGCGTATGTTCCACAATTCAGACCTAGATCCAAAGCAATTAGGATAACAGAGAAGGGCAGCAGCTTGGCCCAAGGTCAGACATCCCTGTCCTTCCCATCCTGCTGGCCTCCCTTCTGTAAGACATCAGTCTGAATGGGGCCAGGTTCCTGGGCAGCTCAGGTGGGTCCACCTGGCTCTGGCTGGCCCTGCCTGCTGCTTCCTCGGCAATCCTGGTAGGTCCTCATTTGAAGGCATCACATGGTCACAAACACCTGTCCCCTTGCCTCTTCCACCTTTCTTGAGGTACCAGCAGGCATCTTTGAGAAGTCTCTGTGAACAGTAGCCCCTTTTCCCTCACTCTGCCTATAGCTACCAGGATGTGATACCCTGATCCGTGTTATCAGGCCATTTTCTACCCACTTCCATACAGTGGTGACAATACCCATCAAAGCAGGCATTTAAACTGCGATGCATACCCGTACAATGTGTGTGATCAGTGAGGGAGGACAGTATGAGTCAATGCAGAATCAGTGGAAGAAAGAACACCCAAAATACGGGAAAGTTAGAAATAAAACTGGTTACAAAAGTGATACAACTGTGACCTCTGGCTTAACAATTTTCAATTTTCAAAAGCTAGCTTCTAACATCACAGACTCTGGGCTAATCAAACAGTAAGCCACATACAGTTATATTTCTTTCTTTCTTTTTTTTTGAGACAGTGTTTCACTATGAAGGCCATGCTTGCCTTCAACTCACCATGCAACTCAGGCTGGCTTCCAGCTCTAGTAATCTTCCTGCCTCAGCCTCCTGAGTGCTGGGATCAGAGGTCTGCACTACCATGCCTGGCCACAGCTATATTTTTTAAGGTAGAAACCCCACAGTAACCTTTTCAAACAAGGTTTGACTCCAACAGCCAGCAAACTCTGGCCCATGGGCCAAATCTATCCAACTTCTTTCTTTGTGGTTGTTAATAAAGTTTTACTGGAACACAGGTATGCCCACTGAGCTGCAATAGTTGCAATGAGACCATCTGCTTGGAAAGCCAAAAGGACTTTAGAGAAAACACCAGAGTCTGCCTAAGTGTGACTGCTAGGGGCGCAAGGCGAGCTACTGTGTCAACCCTCTCTACCCTGCAGGCTTTTACTGCTGCGTCAGTTGGAGGAGCGGCAAGGTCCTACTTATTACAGTACCTCTGGGACCTCCCCCAAGGTTCAACCTAGACTTAGTGTGCTCAGCCCTGTTTAACACATGAACAAATGCACAAGAGAACATGTGAGCGACTCAGAAATCGGTATTAAAAATGGGTTGCTTGGCATGCAGTTCCACAACCAAGTTATTACCAAAAATTAACTGCTTCTAGGCCTCTGGGGAAGAAACCTACATTCCTATAATAGAAGATTTACATCTTTATGTAAGGAGGCCACATTCTCTAATCCTTACTGGTCTCCTCTGCATCACTGGTTAGACTTCAAGACCATCATCATGGAGTATTCCGGAAGTAAATGTCTGTCTGCTCACTAACAATGTGCTGGACACAGAGAGACAGAACTCTTTAAAGATAAAACAAATTGAAGCTCCCCTGGGGAGGCTGGGATTTTGAAAGGCTCTCCCTGCCTTCTTCTTTTAAAGCTAACAAACAGCATTTTACTTATTACAAAAGCAGAAATGCCACACATTTCAAATGCCACTCAGCAGGGGGCAAGTCCTTCAACCCCATCAAGGAGCACGTGGTCCCTCTACTAAGCCACAGGAGACCTGCCACCCTACTGTGTCCCCACAGGAGGACCAATAGCTCTGCTGCTTCCTCCCAGGTCTAGCCTATATTTGGTACCTGGCTGGGCCCCTTCAGACATATGCATTCATTTAATAACTAAGGGTCCCAGATCTCTCTTCTATCAGACTTGACTTGCATGCACTGGGAAACCTTGGCTCAGCTCTGCCTCTGGGAAGTCTCAGGGGACCTGGTGGCCTGGGAAGGATCTTGTATGCTCCTACCACAAGGCTCTGTGGCTGCTCATCACCCCAGAGGCCAGAAGTTTGATGGCTACATACAGGACAATCATTAACTTCAGGGAAGGGTACCTCTGCAGATGGAGGGAGAAAACAGCTGCCGCTGCTGAGGAGGAGGGATGGAGGGAGGAAGGAAGCAGCTCTCTAGGGAAAGGAGAGACACCCCTGCATACTGTCCATGGAAACGTG